TGGAGCGTCCCCGTCGCCGAGATCTTGCCCGTTTCCATGTTCGTCCTCGTGCCCGTCCAGTTCTAAGCGAAGCTCCTCGCGAGCGAGATTGTCTCGCTGCATCTTCCTGACTAATTGCCGAAGGAGTTCGTTCTGCGCCGTGAAGTCCAGGTCGCTCGTCGAGTGGGGGCTGTCCAGCAGGGAGGTGAAGCTCAGCACGTCGCTCTCGTACCCGTTTGCTTCAGTGGAATACTGGAAGGGCACTGAGCGGGGTGGAGATTCGATGAAAGTCACATTCCGGCTCTCGACCACGGCCCCGTTGGATGGATCCAATACCCGGTAGGTCTGGCTGTCGAGGCCGAAACCACATAGCTTGCCTTCGAAAGCTCTGTCGTCCAGCTTCTTTCGGTATCTCTCGTGGTGTACGAAGGCGCGCGCTCCAATGACCCGAAGTCCCGAGAGATCAGGTGACTTATTGTGCAACTTCGAGTATGGCGTAGCTCCTCCCAGTGCTGAGTGTGGGGACCTGTTCAACAGGTATGCTGCAGTCAGCATTATCTCCCCCCACATGGACGGCGGAAAATCTCCATCCTTCAGAAGACACCGGGTGACTCCGGCCAGGGTTTGTCCGTCCCGTTCCGATACACCAATTTGTTGAGGGGTGTTGGTGGCGGCGTATTCGAGCTTGATAGCTGAATTCTTGCAGTAGTCCCGAAAGTCGGATCCAGTGTTCTCGCCTCCCTTGTCGCAGCGGATGGTCTCGATCTGGTAGCCTCCTGCCGCTGCGACGCACATGTTGTACGTGTGCACCGCCTCGGTCGTGTCAGATTTCTTGCGAGGCAGGTACACTTCTTTCATCTTCGTGTAGTCGTCGGTGATCTTGCACGCGTACGGGAAGGAGCCTCCTTTATATTTCGCAGGTAGATTAACAGACCCCATGTTGTCGATGACCACAAGCTGTCCAGGCCGTGATAGTTCGCGAGTCGATTGCGTCGGGGTGGGAGGACTGCTTGTGTTTCGCGATCTGGCAGACCCCGCAAGGGGAGAGACTGTCGCGATAGTCCACCCCGGTACTCGTGTCCTTCCGAAGGATGTCCAGGCTCCGGTGTCCACAGAAAAAACTTCAAGAGTGCCGGCATTTTTTTTTAAGACCGATTTTTTTATAGTTGACTACCGTTGGACGCGCAAAAATAAAAACACTACACCCCCCCCATCTCCGCACACAGGTGGCCAGTGGGGACGGTTACTGGGGGGCTGAAGTGACCTGTAACCCCTAGGCGTTGTACAACCTGCGTAACCCGGCCGGGCGCACCGTTGCCAACCTCCAAGGTCAGGCAGGGTTCGGAAACGCCGGCCCAAACCCAGTTAAGGGACATTTGTATCTGTGCTTGGTTGCAGGCGAGGTTGTCCAAGCTCGAGAATGTCCATGCCTTGCCGCGAAAACTATGCACCAACCAGCCGGTGTCCACAGAGTACACGACACACCGATGTTTTGGACGTTCGCGGCAATAATAAAATCAAGCTCCAAGAGTGCCGGCATTTGTAAGCCCGATTAGATAGTTGACTACCGTTAGACGCCCAAAAATAAAAACAGTACACCCCCCCAATCTCCGCACCAGCACTAATTTCAAAGGAACCTCCCCCTCGCCGCTGATCTGCAACTAACTGCCCACAGGTCTCCCCGCGAGTAGCCCCTCACCCCTTCGTGAGTGCTAATTATCTTGCAGCTGTCGAGTTTTGGGGCCTCTGTTCTTACACCACAAAGAAAGGCGGGTTCGTTCTTGTTCTTAACACCACGTCGGGCCTGAGCACGCACGTGTGTGTGTGTGTGTGTTGTAATTATTTTTATGTGGTCAATTCTTTGATTTTGATATTTTTCGAGGCCGCATTTCTTAACTGCCAAGTTCTTAAGTGCGAGCGCCACCTTTATCTTCTGATCATGATGTAGTGCCGGGAGCAACATAGACATGGGCCTACTCTATTTGATATATATATTGCTGCCTAGAACACGCACGGCAACGATCGGGGGGCAAAGCAAGGGCTGAGAAAAAGAGAGAGTAGGCGATGATGTACCATATACATACGCTGCCTCTCTCTGTAAAAGTCAATCCAACAACACGTACGTACGTACGTACGTCTCCTAAAAATATAGAATAATAGTGGTCGAACATAGCAATACTACATAGAAAATCTCTCCTGAAAAGAATTGCGCGCTCAGCACTAAATAATTATATTTACTTCGTATATATGTTGTTGCTGCTGTGGAACATAATAAAAACTTAGCTGACCCAAAACTTGCCATTGAAGGATTGGTAATGGAAGACATTACTCGGAGTTGCTTCTTTTTGCGTGGGGGGGAGGCAGAGTAAGTGTGCTCTTTATCGGCCGCGTGGGTGGTGCTGCCACAATTGTTCCCGCACCCATCACTATCATCCCCGGTGTTTGCCATCCGGGTTGGGTTTTCGTCGCTTGGCAACGACTTTGTAAAACAAGCCCCCCCCTCGGTGACCGCCCCCCGCAATCTAGACTTCAGTGGGTTGGCGCTGTTGGCAAAGCGCTGTAAAACACGCCACCCCAAATATAGCCCCCATAGTATGCGCTACCAAAGACGCGTGACGCATGGATGCGTGGAGTGAGGATTGCTTACG